TGCTGTACTTCCACATGGCTGACTGCGGTTCAAGTCCTAGACCTGGCAGCTTGCTTTCTCAATCTCTTTCTCAGTCTATCCCTCTCTGGTCAAATTAAAATAAATGAATAAATCAAGTTAAAAAAAATAATCCTTTAAACATATACATCGTGACCAAGTAGATTTTATTCCAGGGATGTAAGGATGGTTCAACATATGCAAAATAATAAATGTAATACATTACATAGGATAGATAAAAACCATATAATCATATCAATTGTTGCAGAAAAAGCATTCAATAAAATACAAATTCCCTTCATGATTAAGATTCTCTACAAAATCAGCATAGAAAGGACATTCCTTAACACAATAAAAATCATCTATGAAAAACACATAAGCTAACATCATACTGAATGGTGAAAACCTGGAAGCTTTTCCACTAAAAACTGGAATGAGACAAGGCTGCCCACTTTCTATATTCCTTTTTAACAGAGTACTGAAAGTTTTAGCTAACCCAATTAGACAAGAGAGTCAAGTAAAAGGCACCCAAATAGGAAAAGAAGAAGTGACATTATCTTATTTGCAGATGATATGATGCTATATATAAAAAAATTCAAAATAATTCACAAAATAACTCCTGGAAGTGATAAATGAATAGTAAAGTGGCAGGATATAAAATCAATATACAAAAATCGATAGCATTTTTATATACCAACAATGGACAAACTGAGATAGAACTGAAAAAAAAATCCCATTTTCAATACCCACAAAACCAATAAGATATCTAAGAATCTGTCTCTGGAAATGTGACTTTTAAAAAAAGATGCTGATTAAAATATTAGAGGAAAAAAATACAGAGTAGTTCTTGGTTGGGCAGAGCTTTGTTTATAACACTTATTTGAGCTCAGAAACAATCTTCTAAAAATGAATTAATATTATTAAGATGTCCATTCTACCCAAACTAATCTACAAATTTAATGCAGTACCAGTCAAACCACCAGAGATATTCTGCACAGAAATAGGAAAAAAAAATCACAAAATTTGTCTGGAAGTATTAAAGGCCCTATATCACCAACACAATACTGTGCAATGGGAATAAAGTAGAAGCCATCACAATACTGTGCAATGGGAATAAAGTAGGAGGCATCTCACTTCCTGATGTCAAAACATATTATAAACAAACAAACAAAAAACAAACAAACAAACAAATTATAAAGCCATGATAATTAAAACAGCATGGTATTGGCACAAAAACAGAGAGGTAGATCAATGAAACAGAATTGAGAACTCCCAAATAAACCCCAAAACATACAGCCAACTGATCCTTGACAAATGGCACAAAACAATCCAGCAGGAAAAAGAAAATCTCTTCAGAAAATGGTGCTGGGATAACTGAATATCCACCTGCAGAAGAATGAAACTAGATCCTTATCTCTCATCACTAACAAAAATAAACTCAAAATGGATTGAGGATCTAAGCATAAAACTTCAAACTATAAAAATACTGGTAGAAAACACAGGGAAAATTCTTAGAGACCTTGGAGTAGGCAGACTTCTTAAAGAGGACCTCCAAAGCACAGGTAATTGTCCCCAAAATAAACATATGGGACTATATTGGGCTGAGAAGTTTCCGCACAACAAAAGAAAAAAAGGAGCAGAGTGAGAAGACAACCCTCAGAGTGGGAGAACAAATTTGCAAAGTATACCTCAGACACAGGACTGATAACCAAAATATGCAGGGAACTCAAGCAGCTTAAACACACACACACAATGATCAATTCAATTAAAAGATGGGAAAATGAATTTAATAGACAATTCTCCAAAGACATACAAATGGCCAAAAACAATATGAAAATGTGCTCAACATCTCTTATCATAAGGGAAATCCAAATGAAAACCACAATGAGATACTACTTAACCCCAGTCAGAATGGCTAAAATGTAAAAAGTAAATAATGACGAGTGCTGGTGAAGCTGTGGTGAAAAGGGAACTTTCCTACATCATTGGTGGGAATGCGAATTAGTAAAACCACTTTGGAGAATGATATGGAAATTCCTTAGAAACCTACAAATAGAACTACCATATGACCCAGTAACTCCACTTTTAGGTACTTACCCAAAGGATAGAAACACACTCTGTTGGAAAAACACTTGTGCATGCATGTTTATTGTAGCATTGTTTATACTTTCTAGGGCATGGAATTAACTCAAATGTCCAAAAACAGGTGATTGGATTGAAAAAATGTGGCATATGTTCTGTCTGGAATACTACTAAGCCATAAAAAACCAATGGAACCTTGACATTTGATAAAAAGTGGACGAATGTGGAAGACAATGCTAAGCAAAGCAAGTCAGACTACAGACAGCTTTTGTATGTCCCCACTCAGTATATGCCGATTGTCTGTGTAGTAGGAACAGAAAGTTTGGAAGGTATAGAAGCCTGCTTCTTTACCTTCCAGTATCTCCGTAGATACTAGAGAAAGTAAGGATGGGGTATACGGGAGCGGATATAGAGGGAGGGAGGAGAACAGGGGAAGGAAAAAAAAGTTTGTTTAATTGCTGAAAAAATGAAAAGCTATTTGCTGATGATAATGTATATAGTGATATCTTTATCTTGACTAATACGTATGCTATTCATGCTGGATAAGGCAATGTTGTACACTTGGAAAGATAAATGTGATTTAATGTAAATTAAAATTAAATTAAACATTAAATATATGAAGATCAATTATGTAAGAGTTTCAGGAGATTATGAAAAATAACTTGTGTGTCTAAATTATACATTTAATTTATTAAAGGTAACTCACTATGAACCTCTGGTTTCCTATTTTTAATCTAAAAACCCAATCTGAAATTCATGAAATTGCCCCACATGGGTTAATAAAATATGAACAGATACATTTTAACCACGGCCAGTTTTGTTTTATTATTATATTTATGGGATATTATCACATCAAATCCTACAAAATAGTATGCATTACTTAAAAAGTATTTTTCTATCAAGCTGTCTTTTCAGAGCCCCCTTAATGTCATTATTCCTGAGACTGTAGATGAGGGGATTCAGCATGGGAATGACCACCATGTAGAACACAGACACCACTTTGTTCTGGTCTGTTGAGTAGCTGGACTTGGGCATTGCATAGATGAATGTAACAGTTCCATAGAACAGAATGACTGCCGTGAGGTGGGATGTGCAGGTGGAGAAGGCCTTGTGTCGCCCCTCGGGGGAGCGCATCTTCATGATGGTGATGAGGATGGAGATGTAGGAGAAGGTGATGACAGCTGCAGAGACAACAATGATGGAGCCAGCAGAAAATGAAGAAACAACTGCAGGAATACTTGTATCAGAACAGGAGAGTTCAATTAAAGGAGAAAAATCACAGAAAAAATGATTGATTTGATTTGATCTACAGAAGCAAAAAGAATAAAAGCAAATGATAAAAGAACAAGTGTTAAGAAAACTAGCGATGTAAGCCATTAGGAGTAACTGGACACAGACCTGTGTGGATATTTTGACTGAATAAAGCAGTGGGTTGCAGATAGCCACAAAGCGATCATATGCCATGGCAGCCAGAAGGAGGCATTCATTTGACCCAAAGAAAGCGGCTGCACCAAGCTGGAAGCCACATCCAAAGTAGGAGATTGTGTTTCTTTCCACCAAGAAATTTACAAGCATATTGGGTGTGACAGAAGATGAGTAGCCGATGTCAACAAAAGCCAACTGGCTCAGAAAAAAGTACATGGGATGATGGAGTTGAGGGGAGAGTCTGATCAGGATGATTGTGCTGAGATTGCCAAATACGGTCACCAGGTAGATGCACAAGATGATTACGAAGAGGATGACCCGAAGGACTGGATCATATGTTAAGCCCAATAAAATGAACTCCATCACTGCAGTGTGGTTCCTGTCCACCAGGGAATCCATGTGACAATGAAGCTGCTGCCAAACCAAACCTGTGATAAAAACAGTATGCTAAAGAATTTTATACATTTGATGGTTTCATTGTCATGAACACTTAGAAGAAGCTATTATGAACAAATGCATCATAAAAATAAAGTTTAAACTAATGATATGTTGTTTTATTCTAGAATACTAAATTTTATATGCTTGTGTATAATGTCTTTCTATATATTTTTTTGTCTTTCTATATTTTGAAAACACTTGAAAAAATTTCAAAAAATCAAATATGTATGCAGGGTATTTTTAACAGTTATGGAATAATTGGATTAAAATAGTGAACTTGCTTTGCCCCCAAAAATACTAAATCTATGAATAGTGTTCTTTACATTATTTATTTAATTTTATTTATAATTATTATTATTTTTAAAATTTGACCAGAGAGAGAGAGGAGGAACATGTGAAAGCAAGTCACCAGGTCCAGGACTCGAACCACAGTCAGCCATGTGGGAGTATAGCACTTTAATTACCACATGCCACCTGCCCCCATGTATATTGCTTTTTTTTTTTTAAAGAATTATTTATTTTTTATTTAACTTTATTTTTTTTGTGTATTTATTTATTTGAATTTGACCAAAGAGGGACAGAGAAAGAGAGAAGAAGGGAAAGTGAGAAAGCAAGCCACCAGGTCCAGGACTCGAACCGTGGTCAGCCATGTAGGAATCCAGCACCTTGAACCACCACGCCACCTGCCGGCCCCATGTATATTGTTTTTTAACATGCATTTTTAAAGTACTATTTGAAGTCCCTTCATTTGCATTTACATGTGTATGCATACATATTTTATACATATAAAATAAAATGCACCAATGTGGCTTTAAGAGCTAGAGATTAAAAATATGAGATTTTTTAAAATAACAAAGGAGAATATAAGCAAAACAATGTAGATTAAAAATATAAAGATGAGTAATAGCAAATATTTTATTGAATGTTTGCTAAATTATAGGATAGAATTAATAATTAGATAAAAAATTCCAATTCAATTACCACAACATAATACTAAATTATATTATCAATTCCATTTTATAGATGAAGAAATGGTTGAAAATGTGAAGTAACTTACCTAAGGCTATGGATGAAGCAATGGAATCAGGCTATGAACCTCTGACAGTTTGAACTGAGTTCATTCTTTGATGAATTTTCCTATAAAAAAAAATTAAACAGTAGTTACAGTGAAATAGAGTACACAGTTTGCTGAGAGCTAATTTATAAAAGAGGTGTCTCGTTACTAACCCATTAACAATATCTCCCTATCTAAGAGAATATTTTTTAAAAAAGCAGTACAAATTTCTTGCTAGGAAAAGGAAGAAAGATAAAGGAATCAAATTAAGATTATGAATGAATTTACCTACTCTAAGTTTGCTAAATATTTTTAACATTTCCAATTTAATGTATGAACCAATTTGAAATATCAGTCTATCATTGTGTAAAACATTATGATTAATATTTGGGAAAACTTAAATCAAAGTATCTTAAACACATCGAATCATTTCCTAATGCAATAATGTTTTAAAATTACGGTACTACAGGGTCCAGCAAATGGTATAGCAGTTCTGTTCCTAGACTCCCACAGGGCCAACTGCGGTTCAAATCTCAGGGACCCACTGGTTTAAAACATGCAGGGTGCATGTGCATGCATGTACAAGATTCTGGGAGAGAATGGTAGAGAAGGGATTGAGGTGTGGCCATTCCCCTTAGGGGTGGTGATTTCTCACTTTCCTTCTCACTATCTCTGTCTCTGTGTGTGTGTGTGGTGAGTGCACACACCCTAAAGCAAAAACTTCTAAAAAAAATTAGAGCAGAATATGTTAAAAAAAGATTACTTTCAGCATGGTATACAATTGATCAAATTTCAGTCTAAAAACTTAAGAATCTCACCAGGGCACCCAGCTAGTGTTCAGGCTGACCTTCATCTCCCTTGTTTTCTGGCTTTATATCCTTGTCTAGTCCAAAGCGTCTGGTTACCTGTGACATGAGAATATTCACACAAAAAATAAATAACAAAGTCTCTCCACAAAATATTTACTAACCTAATTCCCTAAAGTACTTCTATGCTAGTGAATTTATTAGCATATGTTTGAGTGCTAAGTTTAGAAAGTGTTAAGGCCATGTGAGTTTCTAGTGTTATGTGTAATAAATGAGGAATCTTGGTAGATGGAATTATGTTTGTTAATTCATATGAGAGTGATTGTAGAAACTTAATTCAGCTCAAGTTAATTGTTAACTGATTGCTTGATTACCCGTGCCCTGCTTCTCAACTATAGCTGGTATCACAGATAGAGCTTTAACCAAATGATGGGCTGCCCCTGTGGCCTAGGGTTCTAAGGGAGCCAGATCCCACATGGCTGAGTAGTTTCAATCTTATCCAAGTGAGTTGAATAACACACCAGGCACATGTGAGTGCATTCTCAAGTCCTAGCAAGGATGGAGAAGCGGAGCAGAAAAAATTGAGACACAACATCTGCCATTTGAGTGGGCTTTCTCTCTGTTTTATTATTTTTTTTCTATCTCTCTCTGCTTCTATTTCTGGCAAGCACATATACCCACCGGCACCAATTAAAAAAAGACATTGTTTACAAAAAGATGGGAATTAGTAAGCCAGGTTTACTTACGATAGCCAAGTTCTTACCTCTCGAAATAAGAATCTATTCATCTTACAGGAGTAAATTCAGTCATTGTTGTTATATAGCAGCTGTGTTACCTTTTATTGTTGTTTGCTTTTGGGGATAAATCTCTGAAGATTCTCGATTCAGATGTGAATTCAGGAGCACCAGGGATCATTACATCATCTCAAGTGAATATTAAACAATTCAACTAACACAGACATAACTCATCTTTAAGGGTTCTGCCAGTTCTCGAGAGACCAATCTTTTTCTTATGTAGGACTTGATGTTCTTCCATTGATAATTATTCTTCTATTGGTAAATTTTAGGTGTATAATGAAATGAATTAGCTCAAGGCAAAATATTGGTTCTAAATGTACTGTGATATTTGAAGTTAAAGAATACTAAACTGCAAACATTAAAAAATAACCTCCACTTCATTCAGCATGTGTTCATCTGACAAGTATTTTATAGTGATAGAGTTAAGACACTCCATACTCATCAGAATACATTCAGGAGCTAAGTATTCAAATCAGTGTCCAAATTTTATAGATGAGAGTGTTGAGATTTTGTTTAATGTGCTTTCCTAAATACACACAGTTTGTAAAATTAAATCCAGGTTTAAAAGTCGGGTCAGACTCAGTTAAAAGGCGCAGTCTGAACTTGTATTGTTACCAGGTTGTAAGTCCCTTAGTAATGACCACTGGTTTCCAACTAGACCTTGATTTTCAGTTTTGTCTCCCCACCCTCAACACCTGCCCAATTGCCTAAAAGTGGCCGGCCCTACGGTCCATCCCTGAGCAATGAACAGTGCTCAAGATACTAATTCCCTCTCATGTGCTCACCATCAACCAACCCTGTTGATCTTACGTCAAATTCCTACCCCTTCTCTCCATCTTTCCACTGCAATGGCTGTTTTATATGCATAAGTGCAGTTTCATGTAACAGCCAGTGTGTATTATTTCTTACATGACTTTATTTTTACTGCTATCAAATACTTGTATGCACTTAGTTAAAATGGCTCATAAAAGAAAACAGTGATCCACCAGTATTGATGCTGAAGTGGGCAAAGCAGCTCATTGTAGAAATCAGAAATCAGAGCCCTGCCACCTGCTCTTTGGCAGATAAAAAGTTGATTAATAAGAAAAGGAATTTATTCAGTAAGGCCAATATTGAGGAGGGAACAGACCGAAGTCCATGATCATCTCTGCCTTAGTGGACTAGATATGAAACTTAAAAAAAGGAAGAGGTCAATGTGAGGACAATGTAATGTTTCTAGTCACCCACCAGTGGGGACGGCCATACTGCAATCCCTTCTCCTCACAGCATTTTGGGCATGCACACACACGTGGCCAGCATGATTTTCAAGCAACCAAATCTAGGACTTGAACCATGGTTGACCATGTGAGAGTCCAGCACCTTGATTGCCATGACACCTCTAGCCCATAAGATACATTTCAAAAACAAAGGAGAAGATATCCATCATCCTGGGACCAAAAGACCAGGAACTCAGATAATTGTCTGGCAAGATCAAAAGGAGACTGACAGAATCAGGGGTGGCTGTGACTGCTTGAGAGGTATTTTCTATTCCAGACACTCAGGGCAGAGCATAAAGAGGTGTTCTCACCCGACAAGAGGGCTAAAGATAAGCAATGATGATCAAAGCAGTGAAAACAAATGGAGTCCTCCATACAATGCTTAGATCCTAATTTATAAACTAGGTGTGGTTTTTTGATGCTTTAGCTGATAAAATCTTCTCAGCCTGTGATATCGAAGGTGAAATCTTTTTCCTCCATATTTCCACAGCCAGGTACCTCTAAAGTCTCAGCAAGGTTATTGCAAACTTCCATTAGTTAAAAATTAGGCTTCCTCTATTATAAAGGAGGTACAGTTTAGGTTCTATAAGACTAACTTTGGAGGAAGTAAAGGATAAAAGTTAAAGGCCGATTTTCCTATGGTTTAATCTGTTAAAATTATAGTCCATCATAGAGTCACTGATTTTTCTCATGGCTCAAATACAGTATCTTGGAGAGAGACGGCAGAGGCTGAGGCAGGACGCAAAAAGGTTTCACCTGGAATTTTGTGTCTAATGATGTCTATTCCAAAAATGCTCATATATACTTTCCCATCCCTTAAATTCTTCCTTCTTGTGTGTAACCATTTATAGTCTCATGCTATGCTAGTGGAAACTATTCCTGTTTGCCTGTGCAGAGTACTGAGTCAGACTAATCACTGCACCATATTTTCTTATTTCTCTATCCCGGACAGCTCACTTTTGCCCAAGTCGTTTCTCTGCTATCCATTCCCCAAGTTTTGTACTGAGGGGAACATTCTTCCCACTCTTCTCTTCCTCAGTTTCTTACC